TGGGTAGCGGGGGGAACCGGCCGCTGGAAGCAGGGCTGGACGGGGGAGATCGAGAAGAGAAAGGGGGAGGGAGCGGGACTGACCCGGGCATGCAGACCCTGGCAGACGAGTGAATCTGGACGGGGATTCAGTTTTGCCCCCCCATACCCTCCCTGGAGTAGTTGCGATCTGCCTGGGAGGTAGACACACTCAGGCAGCATGAGCACATCTACCAGCCAGGCAGTTCCCAGCTAAGGACTAATACACCTAATTATAATAAAATGTACCTAATTAGAAAATACCAGACATTTTATATGTCTGGTAATATCTCAATTTGTTTCCTTGACAAAACCCTCAAATACTGGACTGTCCGGTACAAAACCGGACACCTGGCAACCCTACCCTTCCTTGCACCCTCCCTCTTAGCCAGATACCCTACCCCCAATCTGTTCCTGCTCCCGCCTCCTGGAGCGCCCATGCGGTGCTGGGTCCCCCAAGCCCTGGCCCAGGCTGGGCGGAGGATGCAGCCGGGTGAAACACTGAAAATGTATTCATTTTTCATTCTTTCTTTATATGCGTTTATATTTTTGGGCTGCAAAAAACAATACTGAAAAAAAAAAACGGGTTCCAACTAAAGTAAAAAGTTTGGGAAACCCTGGTCTAGCCAGCTTTCTATCCATCTTACAGTCCATGTATCCAATCCATATTCCTTAACTTGCTGGCAAGTATATTGTGGGTGACCGTATCAAAAGCTTTGCTAACGCTGGCACGGGGGGCTTTGGAAGGACCAGAAACAACTTATTTGAATATATTCATCATTAGCTTATTGAATATGCAACTATGCAAATGAAATGTTACCGTTCCTCCAAAAGCTCGTGAATGGATTTACTGGTCCCCGGGTCAAAAAGTTTGGGAACCCCTGTGTTAAGGCAATGGTTTTGAAGCTCTCTTGCAGGCCCCCACCTTCTGCACTCGAGTGCCAGAGTGGGGAACAGCCCTGGCACAGAATATGGCAATATTTTCTGCCAGTTTAATTACAGAAATGTTTTATACATTTGTAAAAATTCAGTTTATTTATTAGACAGCCACAATCTTGAACACTAGATATCTCCACGAATGTGATTTTTTTTTCCTTGCACTCAAATTTTTTTTTAATTTAATCTGCTTGAGATTCCATTTTAAACAGTACTGAATACAAAGGTCAGGCACTTACGAAGATACATATTAACTGTCACTGACATGTTATATCCAGGGACCAAATGTATACTACAGTATGTTACTCACATTTGTTTCAACTGCAATACCAAATAAACACCCACTGCAATGCATTCTCTGTCTTCTGGCAACCTAAGAACCACAATATTGGGTCAGCCCAAAGGTCCATCCAGTCCAGTATCCTGTCTGCCGACAGTGGCCAATACCAGGTGCCCCAGAGGGAGGGATCACAACAGGTAATCCTCACGTGATCCCTCCCCCGTCACCCATTTCCAGCTTCTGACAAACAGAGGCTAGGGACACCATTCCTATGCATATTGGCTAATAGCCACTGATGGACCTATCCTCTGTGAATGTATTTAGTTCTTTTTTGAACCCTGTTAGAGTCCTGGTCTTCACAGAATCCTCTGGCAAGGAGTTCCACAGGCTGACTGTGCATTGTGTGAAGAAATACTTCCTTTTGTTTGTTTTAAACCTCCTACCTATTCATTTCACTTGGTGCCCCCCTAGTTCTTGTGTTATGGGAACAAGTAAATGACTTTTCCTTATTAACTTTCTCCACACCACTCATGATTTTATATACTTCTATCATATTCCCCTTTAGTCTCCAAGGAGAGCAGTGAGAGAGGGGGGTGTAAAAAAAAACTAACTGGCTTCAAGACTGAGCTTGATATGGTTATTGACGGGATAGTATGGTGTAATGGCCTACACTGGCATGTGGTCCACTGATGTCTTCTAGTAACATAAATCCCCAGTAGCTGAAGATGAGACACTAGATGGGAATGGTTCTCAGTTACTACAGATAATCTTTCCCATGTATCTGCCTGGTGTGCCGTGCCCACATTTTCAGGGTCTAACTGATTGCCATATTTGGAGTCAGGAAGAAATTTTCCCATGGGTCAGACTGGCAGAGATTCTGGGGTAGGGAATCAGGTGAGGAGAATTTTGCCTTCCTCAATAACGTGGGACACAAGTCGTTTTGAACTTCCATAGCCTAGAAACATCTGTGCTCTGCCCCACTGGGCGCTTGTGCCTCATTCCTCCCTCACCCCTCCCTAAACTCCCTTCCTGATGTAAAACAAAATACACGTATTTTCATGAACACAAACTCTCTTTATTCAACAAAACTGGGGGGGAGGGAATGAAACTGGTGAGACTGGGGAAAGGAGGCAGGAGAGGGGAGAAGAGAGGGTAGAAGAGGGGAGGAGGAAACCTGGGAGGAGGGAGCTGGAAGGGGGAAGCAAGGGGAAGGGGAAGCTCAGGGCTCAGGGTTGGGGGGTCTCGCCAGACCATCTTGATTGGCATGCAAACCTGCTCTTGGGTTCGCAAGTGGCCTTTGGTGGCCAGGCTGGCAGCTATCCTGCCATAGATTTAATCCCCCCATATATGGCAGCCATTCCAAACCCCTAATCATTTTTGTTGCCCAACATTCCATGTAGTTAAGCCCCGATGTCCTTCATCCCCAAATGCTCCACTAGAGGCAGCAGGCTATGCTCTATTGTTGGAAAACTCAGTGAAACACATCCCAAGAAGATCAATTACCTCTCTTCTACATTGCTTAAGGAAAGAGTATGTTAAACCCCAATAACTGTTTCCTGTTCACACCTGATGGAATAAACCATCTGACTACTACCAAAATATATGTATTTTTAAAAAGGAACATGGAGTATTGGACTGACACCCGTGGTGACTCAAGAGTCTGTTGATCCACAGACAGAAACTGCATGAGCAGTAGTAATGCAAATTTCTCTGCAGACTCCAGCTTAGGACTGAAGCTTATTGGTGAAAGAGCACCTCAAAAAGGGGGAATTCAGTTTCTATGGTCTATTCAGTTGTAGAGATCCCTACCTGAAACTCCCAACTGCAGGGTTGTTCTTGACATAGGGATACTTGTTAACCATGAACTGGACTAAGACCATCAGCTAGGGATGTAAAATCCTGTTTAATTAGTTAGCTGGTTAAATATTAACTGTGGCCATTCTAGTCCCACTAGGCTGGAGCACCCGCCTGCCCACCCACCTGCTGAGGTTGGGCTGGAGCGGCACCCCCACCACAGGCAGGGGCTGCTCCAGCCTGGCCGGAGCAGTCACTGCCTGCGGGGTGGTACCCGGGCTCCCTGTGGGGAGAGGCTGTTCCAGATGCCAGAGCAGCCCCTGTCTGTGGTGGGCCCCCTGTGGGGCTGGAGCAGCACCCTGCCCATGGCAGGTAGGAAGCTGCTCCAGCGCCCACTGATTAACAATTAACCAGAACTGGTAAGCATCACCCATTAAGGGTGATGCTTGACGGTTAACCTTTCACATCCCTACCATCAGCTCATATCACATCTACCCCATTACCAACTCCCTCAGTCAAATCTAATTAAAACCACCTATGCTTTAAAAAAAACCACCACACACACACCCCACAGATTCTAAAGACCACTTTTTGAATCGAGTACATGCTCTACCTTGTTCTAGTCACATACATGTTCACATAGCTTTTCTGAATTCTCTATCTAGCTCTTACCTCATCCATTTTTTCCATTGGCGTATTGTCACCAGGCAGCATCTCTTTAGTCTCGGAAGTCTCTGCTTTGGATGTGCTACTCAGCTGATCAATAGGAATCATACCAGCCTCTGATGTTCCTCTTGAATTCTGGCTCAGAGGAACTGTCCCAGTGATTGGCTCGTCATCATCAGAATCTGGTAACGGTGTTGGACTAATGTCCTCTAAGCCAGTGCTAGAGGGACGTGAGGATGGGGTTTGACCTCGGTAACTGTGCTGAGAATTCGAGCCATACAATGGGATAGGAGAAAGCTGGGAGGAGGAGGAAGAGATAGGGCTACCTTCCATTTGGATCTCATTGTCCAAATCATGCTCATTAAGGAAAGGTAACTTTCTCTGCTCTTTCAAGAGCATCTCAATCCTTGAGTCTAAACTGTTATGCTGCATTTCAGACTCCATGGTTGGGGTGCCAGGTGTTTCACTCCTTTCTGGAGTCTCTGAGAAGGATGCAGTACTTTGTTCAGTAACACAGTTTGGCTGTGGCAGAGGTGGGAGTTCCTCCTGTTTTTCTTTCACAGGAACAAAGTCAATATTAGTGGCAGCATTACCTTCTATTAAGATCTCGGCTGGAGGTGGTGCAGGTCTCCGGTACTCGGCATCTCTGGAAGTTTGGGGATATTGCTGCTCATCAGGAAGAGGAAACACAGCTGGTGCTTGGTATGGAGAGAAGGCAGATTTATAAGTTGAAGAACCAGAGTGGCTCAAGGGAGGAGTGTGAGAATATTGTACAGGCTCTTGCTGATGAGACTTGTATGTGCTAAACTGATGTTCTGACCCTCTGTGAACACTTGCCGAATTATGGACATAGTGATGTCCTAGTCGCCTGTTGTAGGCATCTGTAAATTTTGTTTCATGTCTCCTGGGTTTATACCCAGAGTCCTGTCCATAATGGTAAGCTGGTGTTGTTTGACGACTGGAATAAGTTGAATCTTGGGAAAATGGAGTCCCCAGTTGTGGGGTTCCTTGGGACTGTGGGGTATACTGGCTATATGAATTCGGGGTATCTTGCCGACAACTAGAATAAGCTGTATCATGGGAAAACGGGGTGCTACTGTTTGGAGTAATGGATGATCCCGCCAAAAAAATGTTACTGTCTTTCAGCCGTTTTACAGAATCAGTCAACTATAAAAAAAATAAAACAAAAGTAAATAGTAGGTACGTAGACAGACAGACTCTCTCTTTCAAACACGGCTTTTCTGAGAAGTTGAGCACCAAAATTTGCCATTAAGTTCTATGGCAGTAGCAGGTACTTAACAACTCTGAAAACGAAGTCACCACAAATAATTATCCATTAAAATATGTAGGCAGTTATTTTGGGTTTAAAATAGTCTGTAGGAGAGAAAGTGAAGGAAATGGGCAAATAGTATTTATTCTTTAGAAGCAATATCAAAGATCAAGAGAATCAGGTGAATGAGAGACATCAAGAATGCTGAAAATAAAAAATTCTGTCAACTGGTTTTGAATGCAACGATGAAGAGTATGAAAGAATACCATTGAAACCAAAAGATTCAGATTGTTTTACACAGTATGAAGGGACCCAAGTAGCTAGTTTACACATACCCAGACTGGCTCCACACCTGCAATCAGTTTCACATAGAACCCATTTGCAAGCACAGAACCTGTAGAAGTCAATGGGGCTTTCTGTTGGTCTGTCAGCTCAAACTCCCTATCTCCCCGCTTGTCACATGTTAAGTCCTAGCAGATGAGTAAATCTATCTCCTTTATGTAAAGAGGATGGATCTCAACTGCAAACAAACAAAAATTAAACGTAGATCGTACATCTTTGTGAAGTTAAGTGGAATGTTTCCAGCTGTGGAATCTAAAAACATGAACCTAGCAGAACAGCCAAATAATCCAGCTCAATGCAATTTACTTCAAAGGCACATTCAGGGGGTTATCCAAACAATACGATTAAAGTTTGAAGCCAATTACAAAAAAAAAAAAGGAAAATCCCTCAAACAATGATAAGTCGTATCAGTATCATGCCAAAAATCAATGTCCAGTAATGTAGATAGGCAGCAGAGAGTGACCCAATCCAAATTCCCTGCACATCAGCAGGAGATGCACTGAGCTTTAGAACAGCAACAACCAACCAAAAAACAGAGAAGAGTTTACGGAGGCCGCAGCAAAGTAACAACATTTGAATAAGATCTTTTAAAACTATCTACTACTTTTTACATTAAAATTCACATGCCAGTAGTGCCACCGAATCATCAGCACTACCAGGTTTCACACAGCACCCAACTGTCTGATACAGTGATGCAAACACGCTTACAGATTACATTCTTTTTTGGATGGTATGGCTGTTGCAGACCATAAAAGATTCAGCAGCTCCACTTTCTCTTCCTCATCCCACCACCTCCTCCAAAGGTCACAAAAGCATCTTAGGTCATACTTGTTCCTCCGCAAATTAAATTTGTGTATCAACTCCCTGGGTGCTTGACTGCCTGCAGGTGAGGGCCAAGGGAACACTCCCAGCCATGGGCATTGTAAAAGCCAGATCCAAAGCCCACTGAAGTCAATGGCACTTTTTTCAATAGGCACTTCAATAGGCTTTGGAGCAGGCCGAGCGAGGGAGGGTAGCTCTCAGAAGGGAGCAGGCAGATCAGAGGATCTTTACTGTTGAAACAGGGGGAGAGAAGGCAAATCAAGAAATTTCAAGTTACTCTACTGAAATTACTACAGAGCATTAGCAATGTCTTGGCAGAATCTAGTGGACGGACACTAAGGGTGTGTCTACGCAGCAAAGTTATTTTGGAATAAAAGCTGTTATTCCGAAATAACAATGCAAGCATCTACACGGCCATACCATTATTTCAAAATAATTTTGCAATAACAGATGGCTTATTCCAACTTCTGTAAATCTCATTCTATGAAGAATAACGCCTATTCTGAAATAGCTATTTGGAAATAAGGCGTGTGTAGACGCTCCACTTCAGCCATTTCAAAATAGCCCCTCAGCAGAGCCATTCTAAGTTATTCCTCCTGGGGCTCTACATCGAGATAGCACATCTACATTAGGGAAGCCTGCCTCGGACTCATTTTGAGTCTTCCCTGCAGCGTAGACGTGTTATTTAAAAATACACTATTTCAGAATAACTACAGGCAGTCCCCGGGTTACGTACAAGATAGGGACTGTAGGTTTGTTCTTAAGTTGAATCTGTATGTAAGTCGGAACTGGTACATATTGTAGGGGAAACTCTAGCCAAACATTTCTCCAGAGCTCAGTTCTATTCTCCCACACCTCACTTCCCTCAGTCCTTTATTCTCAAGCTGAGGTGTCTGCTGAGAAAAGCCGCTCCGCGTCTCCCTGGTCTGCTGTGGGGGGGGCGCTAGCTTCGTGTCTCCTTGGTCTGCTGGGGGAAAGCAGCTAGTGCGGGGTTGCCTCACCCTGTTTGTAAGTAGGGATCCGATGTAAGTCGGATCCATGTAACCCAGGGACTGCCTGTACTCTGGAATAGCTTACTCCAAAATAAGCATGCAGTGTAGACACAGTCTAATTGAAGGAATCACCAGAATTATTGTTCTGTGGGTAACCCAAAAAAAATTCAATTCAGGGTAAATTTTGCATAATAAATTGCAAGACTTTTAATCTACAATCATGGTGGTGACTAGTGTAAACAGAAAATGATGAAGCAGTTAGAGGTCTCGGAATAGCTTACTCCAAAATAAGCATGCAGTGTAGACACAGTCTAATTGAAGGAATCACCAGAATTATTGTTCTGTGGGTAACCCAAAAAAAATTCAATTCAGGGTAAATTTTGCATAATAAATTGCAAGACTTTTAATCTACAATCATGGTGGTGACTAGTGTAAACAGAAAATGATGAAGCAGTTAGAGGTCTCATTAATAACTGTGATAAACAACTCTTAATAGACACATTCATTTTGGATGATCTGTGATGAGGCGATAAGTACAGGAGGCCCCCAACTTGCGATGTGATCCATTCCTGGGGAAGCGCTGCAAGTCAAACCCTCATTTACGATAGGCGCCGTGTGCCGTCATAAATATGGGCCAAGGACGTAAGTCGGGGGTTTCCAGCCCCTTCCGCACTTACAAAATGGTTGTAAGCACGGGAGCTCGGAACTCGGGCAGTCGCAAGTCAGGGGCCTCCTGTACCTCCCTGTGAAATGGTGAGCACTGTTCACTCCTGAAGTCACTGGGAGCGGAAGGTCCCTGACAGGGGATGCTCAGTACCTGGCAGGACTGGACTACCTAGGCACCTGGGCTACCTACTCTTCCACATTTAAGGGTGACCTGCTGAGGAAGAAACGAGGCCTCTTTACGATGGAGAAAGATGACCTGAAAGGTTTTGTTTGGAGGGGGATGGGTTTTTTCCAGTTTGATTTTCACATTCAGTATTCAAGTCTTTCTGTCTGGAGAACTAGTGAGATGAGGATATTGTAAGGATCAAAATGAGAAAAAGGTGAGCAACTGAGAGGGAAAAGATGTACAGCTACAATGTTCAAAAAACTCTTTAAGGCAAAACTTCCAAACCTGGATGCCTGAAGTCAGGTTCCTAAATCCATAATCCAAATCCTACATAAACTCAGACAGAAATCCACAGGCGCTCAGGACCACTGAAAAGTTAGGCCACTTTATTTAGGAGTGTATGGCATCAAACCAGAAAGTGATTCCACACAGGAGTCTCTCTACATTTAAATGGAGCTCTGTGAAGAAGCAGGTGACTGCCTCTTCAGTCAATTCAAGATCAATGTTTACAGAGGACTACTTAAAAGCATAACTTCAGGCACCCACATTTGGAACTCCTGGCCCCTGGTTTTAAAGTTAGGCCACTTTATTTAGGAGTGTATGGCATCAAACCAGAAAGTGATTCCACACAGGAGTCTCTCTACATTTAAATGGAGCTCTGTGAAGAAGCAGGTGACTGCCTCTTCAGTCAATTCAAGATCAATGTTTACAGAGGACTACTTAAAAGCATAACTTCAGGCACCCACATTTGGAACTCCTGGCCCCTGGTTTTGTTAACTGATTCCAATGACCTTTTTGCCAAATTTATGTAATTGAGAAAGACACAACATATCCACATGACATTTTAAAAAGTGTGGG